GGATGGGGAGATAGATGCAAGGAAACCAAGGTCATGTCGAATCATAGTCGGGGCTTGGGAAGACACCACTGATGCGTGAAAGGCAGGTTCTCAGCATCCAGGTTAGTTAGCTGTGCATGCCCACATTGTGTGACCTTGGGTCTAACATCCTAGCAGGACTGGGCAGGGATGTATAGTCACAAATAAGAGGCACATGATGTTGGAAGAGAATTCCCAAGAGAGGCAAGGTTGATCACAGTAAGAGAAGAGGAAACACTTCATGAGGCCTCTGTCAACACTGTTAAGAGTCATAGATGCTCCAGCTGATATGAAGTGAGGGGAGACACACAAGAACATCCAAACTTGCAGATCGTACCCATTTGACCTAGCCTCAATGGCTTGATAATCAGAACTTGACTGCAGGAAGATAAAAAAAAAAATTTTTTTTTTGATAAAGGAAACAAGGGTAAATTGCTATAATTTGATGAACTTGACCTATACTCGTGGAGGTTGATGTTGTTGTTAAGTGTCGTCGAGTTGATTCCAACCCATAGCGACCCTGTATAGGGTTTCTGAGGAGCAACTGGTGAGGTTGAACTACCGACCTTGCTGTTCAAATGACTTTGCAGTCTGGCACATTAACCCACAGTGCCACACCAGGACTCATCAAGTATCTATGCTATCCCCTCTGTACACAGGGTAGATAGGGATGGACAACTTAGACACTGGCTACCTAAAATAAGGGGGCGATAAAGGCATGAAGTGCTTACAAGGTTTCAAAGGGGAGTTTAGTTTAAGAGTGAGGGAAGATAGAATCCCCACTGAATAGTTTTCATCTTGTCTACATGGGCCTGGTTAAAAGAGATGGGGATAAAATTCTTATGATTCAATAGTGAGTACTTATTATCATGACTAACTGCAACTGTCACAATTGCTATGTTGTTAAGTGCCGTCGAGTCGGTTCCGACCCATAGCGACCCTGTACAGGGTTCCCGAGGGTGTAAATCTTTACGGGAGTAGAAAGCCTCATCTTTCTCCCGTGGAGCAGCTGGTAGTTTCGAACCGCTGACATTAAGGTTCGCAGCCCGATTTGTAACCACTACGCTACCAGAGCTCCTTCACAATTGTAAAGGTAAAAGTTTTGTAACAAAAATGGGGGAGCAGTTAATCTTACAGTCCAAAAACAGAGGACCCTAGGACCTTCAAGGGAGAAGAGCACAAGCAGGATGCAGGACCTTATCTAAAGAAGCAGCGACACCAGAGATGAAGGCAGAGATGGGGACATGGAGAGAGGGAATAGCTGAGGACTCTAGATTCATGGATAGAGAGGGACTGAGAGCTGGTGACCAGGACGCAGACTTGCAGAATGTGCTCTTTGGTGGTATAAATTATTATATATGTCTGAGTGCTGTTGTTTTTTTAAAAAAGAGCTAAGGTGAATAGAGAGAAACGCTGTTAACTGCTGGTACATGGAGGGGATTATAATCATTGTAATGAAACAAGGTGTATGATCTGTTGAATGTAAAACTGATTATCTGCCCTGTAACTTTTACTCAATTTACAATAAAAATCTTAAAAAAGAAAAAAAAAAATCATAGATGCAGGGATCACAGTTCAGATGAAAGGGACTTGCCCAAGATAGAAGGTGGTAGCATCAGGGTGAAAACTCAGGTCCTTATGACTCTAAAATTAATGGATCTAAACTATGCTTCACACATACCTGCTTCTCTTCTAAGGGGCAGTGCAGGGTGATGGAAGTAGCATGAGAAGAATCGCGTAGATTGAGGTTGCAATGAGGCTTACAGGACATAATGAATATAAAGAACCAAGCAGACAATAACCAAATCAAAAATCCACCTCCATCAGTCAGTTCTGACTCACAGTCAGCCTAGAGAACAGAGCGAACTGCTTCTTAGGGTTTCCAGCACTGCAAGTCTTTATAAGAACAGACAGCCTCATCTTTCTCCCTTGGGCAAAAGGTGGATTTGAACTCCCAAACTTAAGGTTAGCAGTCTAACACCTTATCCACAGCACCACCAGCCCTTATCAGGACTTGATAAATGAAGAATCCTTGCTCTCTCCCCTTAGAGGCATGGACCATGTGACGTCCATCTCTGACCACTAACTGTCAAACACAGAGGGGCCTCCTGAAAATATTTATTGATGTGGAGCAGATCCTGTCTTACAAAACCTTAATTACACGTGGGAAAACTGAGACTCAGCGTCCCAGATTCACATAGCAAGCAAGTGGCAGAGCTGTTCTAGAGCCAGGAGATTGGCTCTAGAATGATCCCTCTGCACTCACACCAGTTACCGTTTTCTTCCATGACCCTCAGTTTCTTCATTTGTAGAAGGCACGTAACAACACTCTGGCAAGGTTGTGTGATGAGATGACTTACAGAAAGCTTAGCATTAGGTTGAGCATTCAAGTTACTGGGTTTTATGCCTTTCGCACTCCTCCACCAGCATTGTAACTGGCACGTAGCTAAACCCAAAGAAAGAATGCCTTAACAACGCTTTTTGTGGCACTAAGTATGGACTCTTGGTGTGGCTCTGTGGATTAATGTGCTGGACTGCAAAGTCAGTTTGGTCTGCAAGTTTGGTGGTTCAAGCTCACCAGCCACTCCTCAGAAACCATATACAGGGTCACTATGGGTCAGAACTGATTCAACACCAACAACAAGTACTGAAAACACATGCAATTAAAAATAAAATCACTTCTTCTAAACCAAAACATAAATGTAAAGAAGTCCCACTAAAATATTCTTATATCATGGACCTACATATCAGTGCTTTTTAAAAACATTAAACACTAAGTTCTTTCAAAAACATCTTTGATGCTCTTATTTTCTGGTGTCTTAGGCACATGATTTGTTTGTTGTTACTAATTGCTGTCAAACAGATTCTGACTCAGGGGAAGAAACCGCTTCAGTGCTGTTGGGATGAGAACAAAAGTGTCAGCTGGTTCAGCTGTCTTGTGGCCCCCACGTCGGTACCGTAGTCTGTGGTCATCCCTGAATTCTTCCTGGCTCACGGTGAGTTGAATAGCGATAACCCCACTGATGGTGCAGTTTCCTGTTCTGAATCTGTCACTCACTGTGTGGTGGTGGGCCACACTCCATTTCTGAGCCTCCCTTCTTTATCTCTAGCTGCATAACAAAGGGAGTACGCTAGCCTACATAATTACTAATGGTTCCTTCATCCCAACTTTATGATTCAGCAGCAAAATTCTGCTCCTGTCTCTGAACTTTGCAGCACTGAGTTGCTGGGAGAAATGGGTGGTGTAAAGTTTTATCAAATCAAAAGCATTCAGGCCACATGACTGTCCCAGCAATTGGCTCAGGTTTGGTGAAACCACAGACAGATCAACAGACGGAGTCAACCCAGTGTGATCATGTTGTTTTTGTTGTTGTTAAGTGCCACTGAGTCAGTTCCAACTCACAGCGCCCTTGTATAGGTTTCTGAGGAGTGATTGGTGGGTTTGAACCACCAAACTTACAAACTGACCTAATGGTCTAGTGCTTATTATACAGCGCCACACCAGCTGTCTTTTTGCATGCCTAGTAATTTTTGGCATGAACTGATCTATTTATAACAGATAAATAGAAGTCCTAGGTAATATATTTCACTAGACAGACTTCTTCCTTTCTTAGACAGATAGAGTTAGGGGCTGAGCACTTCAATCCAAACAAGGCTTGAGTTAGGTAATGGCTGAGTTGCAATTGTAGTAAGATTTAGTCTAGATTTGATTTTTCTTAAAGTATAGCTCTCCTGGGCTTTGGGTTGACAGCTTGACTGATCACTGATTCAGGAAAGACTTGGAGATTTGCTTCTCTCGCTTAGAGGTTTTGAGTTTAGGTCTTTAGCACATACACATTACACACACATAACTTCAAAAAAATTGGAGCCTATTTTGATGGAAAGACTAGTGTGTGTCTGAGGCAAGCCCTCTCTTTCTAGGCTCTTAAACATCATAGCATCACAGACAATTTTATCCTGCGTTTTAGAATCCCTCAGCCTAGCTCCCTGGTATCCTTGACAGTATACTAGAATTCACATGCCCCTTGTGGAAAACTCCTTAAATTCCCAATCTGTTTTGCAAACACTTATTGTCTACCAAAAGCCTTGATGGTTTCTCTTTCTCTCATTCATGTTCCTCTGCTTGGGACAAGTCTAAGTCACCTGATGATCCCCAAATCAGCAAACATTCTCAGAGAAGAAAAGAGCTCCCCCTTTCTTTGGCATTCCAACTAATCTCATCCTTATTGTTCCCATGCTTCTCCAATTATCTTTAAAATGTGAGTTGTGTAATTTATCCAGTATTTTCTAGTTGCTGCAATGAAAGTATTTGACCACTGTGACCTATTACATTCTATTTAGGAACTGAAGTCCAGACGCCTAGTTTAAGTAGAATCTAGAAGAACCACAGCGACTCCAGGCATAAAAGATAGAAAAAAAAAATTTTTTAGGAATCATGTGTGCATGACCATGCTACAAATCTTGAAGAAAGCCGTCCTTCCAAAACAAAATGGAGACACTTTGAGTGAGGGTAAAATTGCTTAAGGACTAGATTTAAGAAATCTGATATTCTCATGCAGGATTGTGGGAACTAAGATGAAGATCAGCAGAAATCTTTCCAACACACTTCTTACAATCATAATTTAATAATAAATAAAGTTTTTAAACTCTAGTTTTCCCATACACAATCTCAATGAAAATAGAATATTTGACCTGCCTTCTTCATCAGTGTCCCATGAACATAGAATAATGTCTTCCATTTGGTAGGTGGCCAGTTAACATTTGACAAGGGAAGAAAAATAGAAACTTTGGATTCACATGATTGATGTCAGTGCCACAGCTCATCACCAGTTCTCTAGAGTTGACTGTAAATAATTATGCTAATAATAACTATATACAGTGAATGTTACTGAATTCTCATTCAAAAATCCTTGGTTTCCAGTTGCTCCTAGTGCCCAGATATCCCAGCTATCTGTCTCCCAGAAATCGAGCTCAGTCTCATTATGGAGGCCACAACCTGTAATGGATCAGGGGATACCTCACCAGTCTTCTACCTGGTGGGTATTCCCTCTTTGCCAGAGTCCTTCTTCCTCCCTGTATTTTTTCTTTTCCTCCTCTTCTACCTTCTCATCCTTGTAGGCAATTTCCTGATCCTTGTGGCTGTGGCAGCAGAGCCCAGTCTCCACAAGCCCATGTATTTCTTCTTGATCAACCTTTCTACCCTGGACATCCTTTTCACCACAACCACTGTTCCAAAGATGCTGTCCTTATTTCTGCTTGGGGACCACTTCCTCAGCTTTCCTTCCTGTTTATTGCAGATGTACCTTTTCCAAAGCTTTACATGTTCCGAAGCCTTCATCCTGGTGGTCATGGCCTATGACCGCTATGTGGCTATCTGCCGCCCACTGCACTACCCTGTCCATATGACCCCACAGACCAATGCTGCGCTGGCAGCCAGTGCCTGGATCATTGCCCTCCTCCTGCCCATCACAGCAGTAGTGAAAACTTCCCAGATGGCATATAACAACATTGCCCGCATCTACCACTGCTTCTGTGATCATCTTGCACTGGTCCAGGCCTCGTGCTCTGACACTGCCCCCCAGACCCTCATGGGCTTCTGCATTGCCATGGTGGTATCCTTCTTACCTCTTCTCCTGGTACTTCTCTCCTATGCCTGCATCTTGGCCTCAGTACTTCGCATCAACTCCCGAGAAGGACGTTCGAAAGCCTTCTCCACCTGCAGCTCCCACCTCCTGGTGGTTGGCACATACTACTCATCCATTGCTATAGCCTACGTATCCTACAGGGCTGAGCTGCCCCGTGACTTCCATATCATGGGCAATGTAGCATATGCTATTCTCACCCCTATCCTCAACCCCCTCATCTACACCCTGAGGAACAAGGATGTCAAAGCAGCCATCACCAAAATTGTTTGTCTTAAGACTCAAGGTGGGATAGGAGCTCTTGATTTTTAGTTGTTGCTAAGTACACACCTATGTCAGCAATTAAAGTGCCTAGCAGAGTAAGAACTCAGTGACATTTTTGAATTAATAAAGTAATATGTTGTTGTGTACTGGCAAGTTGGTTTCAACTCATAGCAACCTAGTATAAGGTTTCCGAGGCTATAAATATTTACAGGAGCAGAAAACCTCATGTGGAAGAGCTGATGGATTTGATCGCCAACATACAGTTAACAGTCCAATACATAACCCACTACACCACCAGGGATCCATTCATTAATATGTTGTTGTTGATGTTAAGTGCCATGGAACGCTAATTCATAGCAACTCTGTACAAGGTTTCCATGGAGCAGTTGGTGGGTTTGAATCATCAACCTATGATTAATAGTCCAGTGCTTGTCCTACAGTGTTACACCAGGACTTCATCAATTAATACAGAAGCATTAAACAAAAATTCATTTAGGCAGATAACTATAACACTTGTTCCCATTCTTTGGTTCATGGTTTCTCACTGGTGCAATGAAATAATGTTAATGAAATAGTGTGTTGTTATATAAAAATTTACCATTTAATGATACCATAAATCTTTACCAATTTTTTTTAATCTGCCTGTCAAAAAACATTTAGAAGCCAAGTTAAAACACAAATTAAAATTTACATCTCAAGGAAAAAGCAAAAATTTAATCTATAAAAACAGCTCATAATAATTTAGAAGAAAAAGACTAACCCCAACACAAAAATAAGCAAAACATGTGAACAGATTTCAAAAAGAAAGAAAGACAAATGCAGTTTTTAGAAGTGAGAAGTTACTTTGTCTACCATATAGAAATGCAAATTAACACTACACTGAATGAAGTGCCATTTCTTATCTAATCAGATTGGCAAAAATTCAATAGCTTGACAACATGTATATGGGAAAATAGAACTCTCATAACCTGCTTGTGAGAATGCAAAATGATTCAACACTTTGCCTTTTTTACCAAAAGTATATGCATTTACCCTTTGACCCATAATTTCACTTTCAAGAGTCTATCCCAAAGATACACTGACAATGATTAGTGTATTCACCCACCAATCCGGGAGCTGGTTGAATAAACTATAAAAACTTACAATGCAGCTATAGAAAGAGAATGAAGACAGCTTGTGGCATTATCTCTAGGATAGGCTATTAAGAATATGTTGAGAAAAAGCAAGCTGCAGAACATTGTTTTTATAAAAGAGGGAATTTGTTTAAAACTTCAGAGAAAAATATAGAAGGATTAAATATACAAATTAATAAAGATGGCTAACTCTAAGGGACAGGAAGAAAGGAGACAGAGGAGACAGGCATGGAAGCAAGATTAATTGGAATGTACATTCTGACTTTTGTTGTTAAGTTGTTGTTAAGTACCATGGAGTCGGTTCCAACTCACAGTGACCCTGCACAGGGTTTCCGAGGCTGCAAATCTGTACAGGAGCAGAAAGCCTCATCTTGCTCCCCCGGAACAACTGGTAGTTTCAAACTGCCGACCTTGAAGTTAGCAGCCCGATTTGTACCCACTATGCTACCAGAGCTTCTTGTTGTTAAGTGCCATCAAGTCAGTTCCAACTCATAGCGACCTTGTATAGGGTTTCTGAGGAGCGGCTGGTGGGTTTGAACCGCCAACCTTGTGGTCTACTGTATTATTCTGTAACACCACAATAAAATGAAAAGAAATCAAGAGGGAAAAAACAAACAAACAATTCCCCCAAATTTAAAATAAACAGAAATATTTGTCTTTGAGAAATCTTAAACATCACTGAGGAGTCTTTAAAAAACAATATTTTTATTTTACTTTCTTAAAGTGAGTTGGATATAAATTATATGTTTCTATAACTCGAGCCATTTTTTTTTAACTTTTCTCTAATTTTCTCAACTAATGTCCTTTTTTCTGCTCCAAGATCCAATCTAGGATACCTTACTGCATTTACTTGTCATGTCTCCTTAATTGCCTGATAGTTTCTTTGTCTTTCCTTGTCAACACTTGTTAGGAGTATGAGAAGTTTCTCAGGAATTTTTTCAATGTAGAATAACTAGCATTTCTCATCCTTACGTTTTCCTGCTTTCAAAGGTTAGATTCACTGACCTTTTTCTAACTTCTTAAAATAAAAGTATTGAATGTCAACTCTTACTCTTCATCATTCTATAAATTTCCTTGTAAGTATAGCTTTAGCTCACTCACAAGTTTTCCTATGTCATCCTCTTATTATCATGTATTTTAAAACGTTTTTCAGATTCTCACTGTGATTTCCTCCTTAATCCATGGATCATTTATTGTATTGTATTCATTTCTTAACATGTGCAGATTTCTGTTACCTACCTGCTTTTCATTTTTAGTTTGTTTTCACTCTGATGATATAACATATTTTGTGTGATTTTCATTCTTTCAGATTTTTAGAATTTGCTTTAATACCCAGCTTAAGGACTATTTTGATAAATAATTCATGTGCATTTTTGGTAAAAAAAAAAAAAAAAGAGTATTGTATAGTATTGAAGTGTTGTATTCTATGCATGTCAATTGGGTCAGGTATATAAATTGTTTATCTTTGCTGATGTTTTGTCTGTTCATTCTATTACTGAACAAGATGTGTTACAATCTCCAACTGTGATCCTTTTATTACATAATTTGAAACTTTTGTTAGATGTTTAGGACCGTTTAATTTTTTTTTTATTTAATTGACATCTTATTACTTGTATTATGAATCCTTTTATCTACTTTTTACATTAAATTGTATGTAACCTTTAATTAGTATAGTTTTTCTTTGGGTCATTATTTTTATAGTATATCTTTCTCCATTATTTTAATTTCTAAATTTTGCGTAGTGGTTACGATTCGGGCTGTGAATCGCAAGGTCAGCAGTTCGAAACTATCAGCTGCTCCGCGGGAGAAAGATGAGGCTTTCTACTCCCGTAAAGATTTACACCCTCGGAAACCCTGTACAGGGTCGCTATGAGTCGTTTC